CTGTGTATCCCCATTTATTCTTTTTCCCGCTGATTCCATTCGCTGCGATTTTCGCTTGACGAATGAGCACGAGCACGAGTGGGAAGCATATTGATCCTGGCTTTATTCACCAATTTATTCATGTCGAAAACGTGAACTGAAACTACAAACTATTGTACAACAGCTACACATCCCAGTCTCCAATGAGCGGTTCAGGTTTGGGGTTTGGCTGCTTTCCCATTGAGTAGACAATTCCAATGCAGAGATTTTCATCCGTTTCTGGTTCAGGTTCCGTTTGTTACAATATCGCATTCACCCAAGCTACTGCGAGTGTGTGCACAAAAGTTTCCCCATTCAGAACACTCACTCATGCCGAAAAAAATCAAAATCAAAACGAATCACGTTGAGGAGCCGCATTCAAATACAGAAACTTCTGCTGCCTGTCTGTGGATTTCCAATTAAAATATAGCTCAATCACAGACACTGATTGTGATTAATCAATCATTGCAGTCGCAATGCGCTAATCAAAGTCAGATTCTTATTGGAAGCTCTTCTTCAAAGGCCTCCAGATGTCGACAGAAATTGTCTTTGAATTTGACTAAGCTAAAAAGAACAAGCTGTAAATGCGTAAACATACGCTCCAACCAGGTGGAGTCTCTGGTATCCATGCTATGCCTGGGAAGAGACACGAGAATGTGCAGCAGCCGCTACCACCTCATTGGCTATGCTGATTTTTGCAGCTTTAAGCAGGAGCCTGGCACTCATACGAGCACAGGCAGCGTTGATTAATGCAAACAGCCAGCCTGATGTGAGTGAATTAACGCTTCTGAGGGTAAAACTCTGCTATGGCAGTGGCAACAGCCAACAGCCAACAGCCACCAGGCAGAGCGGCAACGACTTTGAAACTTAAATTTTGTACTTAAATGCCAGTGACTGTGCCTGGGAGTGGTGCAACCGCATACGAGTAGCATTATGGCCAGGCATTGGGCTTGCATCTGCTGCAAATGAGCCGGAGAATGTCAAAGGGAGTCGCAAGGGACAAATCCAATGCAATGTGGCAGGAATTTTAGATTACCTACACGAGCAGGAGCAGTAAAAGTATCCATTTATTTACAGGAACTTACACTTACTCCTCATTCAATAGGGAAATGTTGTTCTGTCAAGAGAAGAGAAAGGGATTCTGCCTGTTGGAATGTTTTATTAGAAAAGTTTAGCAAGGGAAAGCTCTAATAAGGAGCTATGAAGCCATCAAAGAAATTAATATTTATGGGAATTTCTATCAATTAAGCTTCTTAGACACTGAGTGAAACCTTCAGCTGTTTCGCCACTGAACACTAACTTCAGCTGCAAGTCAAATGAAACTCGGACCATAGAAGTTTCTATTGTGCTCCGTCACTGGGTTGTCTGTTTTGACAACAATTTTCGTCACGTCAACAAAAGAATGTCTTGGCTTTCATCAAACAAAACAAAGGACTCAAAGTCAGTCATAATATTTGCAGTCAACTTGTCTGCACTGGCACTGGCAGCTGCTGCTCCTCTTGCAGCTGAATTGTTGACAGTACAAAAGAAATGACAAAAGATACGAAAAGCGGTGCCTGTGCCAGTTTCCTAGCACCCACAACACCACTCCCCTCTGAGCCAATTGGAACGTGCAATTATTTAGGCCACTTTGCGGCTGCCGCCACTCCGGCAAGGTTAACTGGCTCCACCGAAAGGGTTAAGGGCCATGGCATGGTGTGTTTTGCCTTGGCTTTGGCTAAAAGTTGCCCATTGCTGGGCCATGAAACGCCTGAATGCGCAATGAGGGAAATTCAAATACAAACGGAGTTTGAATGAATGCGTCGAGAAGTGGAACCAGGGCCTAAGTCAATGGCAGAACTGTTGACTGCGTAAATAAGTGAAGAAAGAAAAAGTGAGGAGGGTGCTGGCTGCACTTAGATGTATCCTTGGCCTATGTGGCCCTACGTGGCAATTGACATTTTTCTTCATCCAGCTAATGTGAACTTAAGTTCTCTTCCACTGCTCATGAAAGCTGATGATGCGTTTATGCACCACATCCCCATCAAATTTGATGTCAAATAGAAGAGACTTCCCATTGACGATTGCAATTGAAATACATGGCCCAAGAATCGAATGGAAATGGCGGAAATGTGGCTGCGTTTGCCCATCAAATTTTAGTTGTTGTGAAGTAGAGAGAGAGAAATAAAATCTAATGTCGAATAAGAGATGGACATAATCGGAGCTTTCGCAAGGAGATGCTCGTGGGATGAGACTGTTTCTGCACTGACAGAATATTTAATGTGCAGCAGCGAGAGGTTTTTCTCATTTTAGTAACAAAATTCTTGAATTGAATTTCTGTAAAGATTTGCTTAGTCATAAATTGTATTTTCCTGCAGAAAATCAATGGGGAAAATCTCTGAAACAAACAATAAATAACTCATGAGCAGCGTGTGCCAGCGGCACTTGAACATTCCACGCGGGGCTAATGCAGCCAAGTGGAGCATAAAGCATTTGTCTAAGCCGTGACTTTTGGGATAATCCAGCACAGATTCCCCCACACACACAACCCCTTACTGTGAGACTCTCATTCCCTGCTGTTTTACCAGTTCCCAGCTCCACAGCTCCACAGCTGTGGTGCTCCCCTCACAACGCGTGTGTTTTGGCATTCTTTTGTCTTTCATATTATGCGCTGACACAGCGGGGGACACACAATTATCCTTTGACGTACTAAGAGTGAATTTTCCACTGTCCACGGATGCTTTTTACTAGGCTCTTCAGATGGCACCATCCAGATCCAGATACAGATCGCACACCTAATTCACAGGGGATACAAGATGAAACCCCTTGGGAGGGATGTGCCATAGACGAGACAACAAAGTGCACAGCTGGCACTAACAGCAGCAATTGTTGGTCATACTTCAATTTCAGAGTGTGGTTTACGCTCCATGATAAAAAACGAGTGCAACCAGAAACCGCAACAAAGTGCGAAGTACCAATGAAAATTGCATACAAAATGGGATACAAGTGGGAGCCAAAATAAAGAAAAGAGTTATGTGGGTTTTGCTGGACGAAACACCAAAACGAGCAAGGGCGAATTCGCGCCACTGCGAATTCCAAACGAGAGAGCAAACGCAAAGAGAAAACGAAGGAGAGCGAATTGAGAGCGAGAGCGGGCTGCCGATCGGAGAGAGAGCGCCGAGGGAGCTTTCGACGTAAAAGGTTGTGTGCGAGGCCAGACGACGAACGACGCAGAAATCGAATTCTTGTACCGTTATGCCATATTTAATCACTTATTAACCGTTACCTATAAACAATAAATATAAATTAGTGATTTGTGTTTAAAATATTAAGTACATATGGAACAACATTCATCTCGGATGTGTGACAACTGGCTGCTGTTGCCACCTTCGATCCGTATATTCAGAACTTTCCCTAATATCACGGATTTGCACACACAAAAGTTGAGTGACTCTGCTGCGCGGACTCACGGAATTCATTAGCATGCAAATTTCAAAGTGCAGCAGTTGGGCGGCAGCAATCTCTCTCTTTTATTCCAGCGGGGGCTATAAAATCCTCAGAGATAAGTCTATATTTATGCACAAATGCAGATAGTGGAACAAAGTATTTCACACACCCGCACAGAGCCACATAAAGGATGAAGTTGGTGGAGAGATGAAAAGAAGATAAATATTTTGCACAGCTAATAAACTAGAACAACAATTCCTCAGAGCACTCCACGAATATTTACCTGACCCAGACCGAACATCAAAGGTGAATCGGTCGGGCGCTGAGTAATGTCTTCAATCAACTGCTGTGGAATTGCTCTAGGGGAAGTGGCAACTGGGGATGGTTCTGGGACATGACATGGACATCTCCCTCTCATATTTACACTGTGTGTCCAAATACCATCGCCTCGAAGAGGGTAAATAAATGTGGCCACAACAAAAATCCAATAAGGCCAGGGGGCAGACTCTGACACTGGTTTCAACGCCATCCATCCATCCATCCAGTGGCTGTCGAACTGTCAGCGGCTCTCGTGCCCCAATTCTGAGGTAAAAAGCAAAAATATTGACGTAACATTATGGGTCACGGATTCGCTTTAAAAATATTTCAAGCAAAATTCTCCATGGCTCAGGGAATTGTTTTCTAGTTTTTCTCCTTTCTTATTTTGTCTTTGTCGCCCCATCAGTGTTCTCCAATGAATTGCCGCAAACACTCTGGGCGTCATTCTGTTGCCATTTCAAATGCTTTCTGCTCTCGTTTCCTGACATTTTGTCTGCAGTGCTTAGACAATGGTTAAGCGTCGCCTGTTGTCTGGTTAGGATACCATTTCCCCAGCCATTTGCGGGGTCTGCCGCCAGGGGAATAGCAGCCCTTTTTAATTCATCGCTCCTTGGGAAGCTGCTAGAGACTTGTACGCATTGTTAAAGCCCCGAAGCCACCAGACGCATTCGTATATTCCCGCAGGATGCAAGAGGAGTCGCAGATGAGAGTTGGAACTGGCGCAACGATATAGAACTGAAACTGAGGTTGACTTTTGCGACATTTAAGCAAACCCAAAGCACGTCAATGACCACGTGTTGACACAATGGAAATGTCATCTGCACACCACAAAATTAGTTTAATTTAATTCCCATCTCGCTGCGGTTGTCTAGCACAAGAAATTGTAGAAATTAATGAAAATCTTGTCCTATCTTTTTTCATTTAAATTAATGCATAAAATTGTCATAAAGTCTGGCTGGACATTAGTGATTTGGCAGAATAGAGAAGTTCGAGTGACGGCCATAAATTGTTCCCAAATTAAAACAAATCTCTGCCCTAGCCGCTGTCAAAAATTGGATCTCATTTGCCTATCATGAAGTGGCACACTAAAATGCTTTTAATTATGAAAAACTAAAGACTAATAAAACAGGGAAAATTGTTCTATTTGTTGCTCCTGGCTCCACACTTCACCACAGGCACAGCAGCATTCAAGATCCCGAGGGGAAGCTTTGCTACTGGTTTTGGCTTTGGTCTGGTTTTGGCTGGACTGGTGTGGCTCTGTTGGAGCCATTATTATTTAATTTAATTCAGTTAGCGACAGCTGTTTAAAGAGCATTTCAGGGCTAATCATGTTGTGGTCTGCCCTCTTTGTATGCCAAAATATAATCACGAGCGATTCTCTGCCTTCAATTTGTATCAGTGTAAAGTGTTGTGTAAACTTTGAACACAAACTACTAAAATAAATCAACTTTCAGGCATCTTAGCGGCGTAGAAGCTTAGAAGACTCCTCCACCGAGGCATCTATGCCGTAAAATAATATGGAAATGAGGCAAGCCAGGCCCAGGAGCAGAAGCACTTTGAAGACATCGGACTGCACTGCAGTGGGTAAGAAAATTGAGTGAAATGCCACGAAAAGTGATCGATTCTTACCCATTTGCTTCACAAATTTGACTACTTTCTGGTGTGTGGCTTCTTGGTGGAGTTCCTTGAGCTTACTTTTGGTATAAGCCGCTAAACGTGCATTGGCCCAATTCTTCTTTAGTTTCTTGTGTTTATTTTGCTTCATGGTTGGGGACCAGCTGGAGTAAATCGGTAGCCGAACGAAATGCTTTCCTTTTGGAACTTTTCGAAGCTTTTCTATCTCTTCAGGCTGATCGAGCTTCTCTTCTCCTGTCTCCTCTGTATCTGACTGCTGTGCCTCATTGAAAGAGGTAATCCCAGTGTCGGCTGCTTTCTTCGTGTCCTTCACACCCTTTGGTGGCATTAGTCTGGGCGAAGTCACTGCCAGCCGCTGGGACAGTTCGTACAGACCTTCCATGGACGACATGGCTGCCCGCTCCTTCAAATCGGGAAGCACAAGGACTGCCTTCAGCTGGCGATCTTCAATGTTCTCATCACAGGGCGTGCTCACAATGCCATTGGCTGTGACCTTTCCCACGCTCGGATAGATCATGACAGGGCTGCGTTGGATGGAAGTCAGAGGTGGAATTTCTTTCGAATGCTGTAACAATTCCACTTACGAATCTGACTTAAAGTTTTTTCTTATGAAAGTGCCAATTATCGGTTCCTCATCCGAATCATATTCGGCGGAAGATGTGTCGCTGGGTTCGTCGCTTCCATGAGACATTGTGTGACTATTTCAGGATCCCATTCGAAACGAACTGAATATTGTTTATTTGAAGGCATGCTTTGATGGAGAGTTTACTTCATAGTTTCTGACCCTCTTCTGTCTGCCAGATGACAGCCAAAAGTGTCGCATAGGGGGGCAGACGGGACAGCACATGCCCCGACCTAAATATGAATGTAAAACAAATGCTGGAAATTGAATTGACTGCAATTTTATGTACCCACCACGAGCAGGGCAGCGAAATGTTTGCATAATTTGTGAACAATTGCCAAAAAAACAGAAGAGGAAAAGACGAAAATGTTTCCTTCTTCCATGCCTAATTCCGTTACCCAAATTAGGACTCCTAAATATCCTTTCCAATTACCACCACGAGCTAAGAGAAAACTTAGTTTGATAAACCATTTTCGTAGCAGTTTCCTCACATGTTCTTCTGGCTGTGAGGTTCCGCTGACCGCGAGACTTTTGCTCGTCAGAAAGTACCCAAGAATGTGTCACGTTCAGAGTTCAGAGTTCAGAGTTCACATGTGTGGATTGTGTTGTGTTTCTCCACTCTAGGGAGAGTCGTGGCACTGTGATTAGACCGCCAGCACGTAGAGGAGACTTTGCATCCAGCCAGAGGCTGCTCCTCCAATCAGATGTCAATTACAGTGCAGATTACCAGGGATTTGTGGCTCCTTTGTTGACTGCTTTGGGGGGCTTTGTGTCTCCATGGGAATATCATTCATTCTTATCATTCCTATCATCCCCTTGGGGCCACTCCAGCATAGGAGGCGACCTTCGAAATGACTCGCATTTTGGATCGAATAATTCTGAATAATGTGAAGTGTTTCTGGAAAGATAAATTAGGTTAATGAATACTTTTGGCTCTGCACAGTTTTCTTTTCGAGATGCACCTTTTAAGAGTTCTCCAACATTGTACGCAGACAGCAGCAGCACAAGCTGCCACATCCTGTTGTTGAAAAGAGAGACAGTCCCATAAATTCCACAGCATATTGCCAGCAACAGTTGGCTTTAATGGAGCTGATCCACATCCATATCCGCCAGCGTAAAGTTGCCAACTTTTCTGCGCTTTTTGAGCATGGACAAATATGTGCTCCGAAAGGTGCACCTTAGTGTACTTTGATTCTGTTGGCTGCTCACCTGGCGACTACCAGCAAATATAAATAAGCGTAAAATTCAATTTTCTGTTAGCTCTCTGCATGTTTGCCAGGCTTCTTCGTGTTCTCATTCTCGCAGTTGCCTCTCATGTCTTGGCAGCCTCCAACAGAAGGCGGCAGGCAGGTGATGGCAATTGAAGGCACTGCTCTTTTCCTTTGCTCCACTTTCATTCGATCTGACAGCCAAAAGCTGAATGAGATTTAACCAAATTGGGTCACCACAAGCACGTGTGGATGCTGGCTTCAACCTCATGGCAAAAAAGGGAAAATTGCGTGATAGTTTACGATTGGGACACAGCAAATGGGGGGGAAGAACTGGGCAGAACTGACTGCTGACTTTTGCCGCTAATCTGCATAACATAATCAGTTGGGTCCAGCAAAACAATTCTGCCAGAGAACTGACCACAACTCGCATATGTTACGCATGTCGGACATCATTTACATATTTGCCTTGACAAAAAAAGGATTGCGAGGAAGGATGGGGGTTTGGAAACAGCTGTGAAATATTGTAACCAAATTATCCTCGAGTCTTCAAATTAGAATTAAAGGCAGAAACAGATTTGAAGAGAAGCAAATTGAAGTTCGCATCCCTGCTTCCAAAAATAAATATTTACAAATTTTCAGTGCTGAAGCAGCTGTTGCCAGAGTCTCAAAATCGATTAACATAAAACTGATAATAAACTAAATTTATGTCGAGGCGGCAGAAGGTACAAACACAAATTACACGAATTTCTGTCAGCTCTGCTTAAGTTGAAGGAATGTCGATAGCTGGAGACAGAAACCAAGGCTCAAAGTCTGTGCTGCTTCAGGGTGCTGGCCACGTTTCCAGTCAAGAACACTTTCGCCTGTCAAGTATTGTCAGCTCTACTTTAAATTGTTATGATGCCCGCCCTCGAGTCCACCCAGCGAATTAGGGCTTGTCCTTGAGCAGAGTATGGAAGTGGAGACAAGACAAAAGCCATTCTTTGGATACCCTTACAGATTCCTTTTTTCTCTGGCATAGATTTTGATTCTATTTTGTGGACTCAGTTCCAATAATCCTTATAAGAAGAAATAGTCCTGCTTCCTCTTCTGTGTGACAAGCTTCACCTTCAAGTCGTAATACTTTCTGAAAGGGTATTTAAAAGGGGAACGAATATCAATTTGGGGTTGCCTTTCGCGCGCTTATCTACGTTTCTGAGGCAGCATTGGGGTTGGGCGTTGGGTTTATGGGGTCCATTTGAGATTTTCTATTTTTCTCTTCTATCTTTCTTGTTGTTTTTCACAGTCCTTTTCCCCGTGCAATTCAGTTGAATAGCGGTTTTATTTGTACATTTGTTTCCATTTTCTGCTTGATTTTATCGGTTGTTCGCGCAATTTGTTTGCTTTCACCTTGCCCCGCTTTTGTTGCAGTTTTATTGGTTGAATTTCAATTATTTGACGTTTTTATTTTCGTTCTGGTTTTGGGGCGTTCTACAGGTAAATGGAACAATTTGTTGTTCAGGCCTTTGGCATTCAATTCGATTTGGTTAGGTATACAGAATACAATTAACAATAACGACAATTAATAAATTTGTTTAATTTTTTATCGAAATTAGTGTTTATGGGAGTAAATTACGTAGAGAATGACAAGCGAAAACATTGTGAAATGCCTAAATAGAACCTTCTGCTGGTTAACAGTGCAGAAAATAAGGGGAAATTTTACTGAAACAGAAGCCCTCCTATTCATGCAACATGTCGCGTTCTAACCTGTTGCTGATATGTTTGTATATGTATAAGCTCGAGCTCTTCTATAATTTTCTGATTGACAAGTACATATCTAGTTTTTATAAATAATTTTAATTATGTGCAGAGATTGAGTACGAGAACCGCTGGCTGTGGACATCAGTTCCCGCCTAACGCACCGAGAGCGACAGATCGAGAGAGCTATAAGGAAGGTAGAAAGGGAGGCGAGATTCATACATAGACGGCGCTTAGCATGTCAGCAAGTGACCGAAATTATGCGTATGTATTGTAAGTATGTACAGATGTATTCGACGACAGAAGCGGGCAGCGTCGCGACGCTGCGTCTGCGTCACGTGGGAGCGTCAGCAGAACAGAGACGGCAGAGGCAAGAAAGAAAAAAAGGCGCGAGATAAAGAGACGAAAGAACGATTGAGAACAACAACAATTGGCAACAATGTGGCTCTAGGTTAGGCTGCTCCGCTAACATTAAGCTGATTAAGGCAATTTCGGAGCCTTTGATATTGGGTTTGAGTAATTGCCGAAAATTATGATTATCGACTTTAGAAAATCAAATTCTTGCCTAATACATACGAAGACCTAGGCCAATTAGACCACAATTAAGTCACTTTTCCGTCAAGTTTTTAATGCAAAATCTGAGTGCATAAGAATGTTGTCTGCTCAAATGTCTCAGCGTCGGTCCTTGGTTTGATGTGCGCACGGGTATGGAAGCCCTGAGGAACGCAGCGACTCTGACAGACACGCAACAGCTTTCCTGGGACACATTGCCATGCAAGGCCCGACCACATTTTGCAAGCAAAACTTTTTCCCTTTTTGCCCTCAGAATGAAAGTATGCAAGTGGGAAGAAGGTCGCCTACTTATGTGTGCGGCAGGCACTGAACTGTGTGTGTAAGAGAATGGAAAATGAGAATGGAACGTCTCCAGAGATGACGCTGCTTTCCATAGCTCTCGACTTTATATGAGAACATCTTGAAATTTGTTATGGCAACAAATGAAAATATATGTTGGCTGCCTCATCGCTCCTTTTGCTGCATATTAAATGCTTTATTCATGTCTGAAAAGCAAAACTAACAGCACCCAGCAACCATAATTTGTGAGATAATTTATATTTTTCAGATTCAATATTCTATTTGAAAGTCAAGTCAATGCTCCCAAAGGATTCTCAGACATATTTGTAGGCCAAAGCTGGAATATTATCTAAATTATATCAACATTTAGGCACTCGAATAGAGCTTGGTGACCGCAGCCATAATTTAAATCAATTAGTGCGAGACCCGAGGACAGCTTCACAGGGCTCTGTTGGCCGCAAATTTGTAAATGTCGGGTTGACAATGTTCTGTTTGGGTCTGTGGTTTGTTTGTATCTATGGCCAGGACTGAGATGTCGGCCAATAGCTGCACAGTCGCCTGTTGTTGGGCGTCTAATCAAAACATTGTGCCAGAACATTACGATTCAATGATAATTAATTACCCTTGGGTTAACGTTGTGGGTTTGGGTGTTGGATGGCCAGTTCAGTTATTAGTTCAATGGAGTAATGGAGTTTATTTTCCAATTGTAGCTAAATTAACTGACACTTGAACGATGCCAAAAACATTTTCATATTTATTTGATCTTTCTGAGGAAAGCTTTTGATTCATTTCCTTTGGCCTAGAAGTGCCTTGCTCGCTCCTCAATTGCAAGTTCCCTATTCAATTACATCAACTTTTTGTCCTGCACCTGTGCACAGCATCCAAAATGCACTTTAGTGGCCAAAAACCCTAACGGCACCTCTGGGAGATAGAGCGAATAGACAGCTGACCTCGGGGCTGGCACAGAAGCAGCACCGGACTGGGCGAAGGTTCTCGAAATTTGTTACTCATGTGGGGAAGAAGAAAGTTAATTACTTCCAGCAGCGCCAAATGTAATGGAAAATGTGATAGCTATGAAGTAGGTAATTTAATTGAAATGTTTTTAAATTTTGCTGTAAACAAACTGAATGGGTGTGGCACTGGCCTGTGTCTTCTGTGCCTTTAAGTGAAATCAAACAGAAATCATTGCCAAATAAATCTTCTAGAGTGTCACATTTGTTGACTTGAAAAAGGTTCCCATACATTTAAATTTTGACCCATTCATTGTGTACGTGATGCCACCCTTCTATCAAATGTCCATCACTCAATTGCATGTGT